GATTCTGTCGCAATGCTCAGAAGTTTGGCCTCCGCGAAGGAAAGTAGAGAGCACAGCCGACTGAATTCAGGATTACGTCGATCCTGGTACAATCCGACCACGTGGGATGACGATGGATGGCGAAGCAATACTTCCGCCGCTTTCTGAACCTCATCGCAGAGTTTGAGAAGAAAGGGAATCTCTCGTGTGGGCTTCCCGCCGTAAAAGATTCTAATCAGTTCAACTTTGGCATCGGCCAGAGAGATATCCTCATAGTCCGCGATGGCTTGTCTCCATGCCTGGTAGTTCTCTGTGAACTTGTTCAGCATGGGATACTTCTGCGCATCCCACAATCCAAGCTTCAGCAGAGTCATGCCCAACAACCGGGGATGACAACACGGAGCATCCACTTCAACGCAATGCCCTCCAAAAGCTGCGTGCCGAGCTTCTCGAGTCAGTTTTTGACCAGCGACCCCGCGAGCAAGTAGTCTTCCATAATTTGTCGGCTGATAGTAGTCAACGATGATTGTGGAGAAAGATCCATCGCGCAACCCTTGGGATTCATGGCGCATGATATACTGTTCGAGAAGTGGCTGTCTCCTGTCCGTTCCAAGTAGAGCATATTCTCGAAGCTCGTCAATGTTGGCCTTTTCATGTACTTGCTGAACACTTGGACGGCCCAGGTTGCTGGAGTCACCGCCAGCGGTTTTGTGGGAGACCATGTGATCCCGCTGCATGGTAAAGGCATCGCCAACCCATTTTTCCTGTAGATGAAGTAAATCGAAAGGACAGCACCATGTTGCCCAGTCACCGAAGACATCGGCACCACCGTTGTTGTTCATGATGTGGAGCAATTTCGTCCAATCAACCAGGAGTTTGCTGAAAACCCCATGATCCACTTGTTTGAACAACTTGAAGGTGCTATTGTCAATCGCCTCGACCAAATACGACAACTTTGTACGTTTGCCTTTCGAAGAGCCAATACAGCCAGGCAGAGCCTCCACCTTGTGTACAAGGTACTCCTTGATGAGGCGCCTGTACGGCGTCGCTTCATGTGTGGCCACAAGAAGGTCATTGTAGGTGCTCATAAGGTCTTTCTCAACGCCCGGTGGAGGTGCATTGCCACCAGACAAGCGAGAAGCCAGCCAGTCGGTGTCACGAGCAAGATCAGGATGCACTGAGGACAAGTCATGGATCATGTGCAAGCACTCGGTAAGACTCGTCTCCTGGAAGAAAGGAATGCAGTATTCCCTCAGATAGATTGCTGCAGTGACCGGATGGGCAAGCAAGGCAGTGAGCTCGTCCTGGGGGATCAGTCGAAACACTCCCTTAGCATGGTCAACTGCTGTGTCATCTGAGGTGAAAACGCCTTTGCCCATGCGTACACACACGACTCGACGCTGTAGCTGTTGACAGGACTTTCGACGATCGTAGGCCTCCTCGATGATTGNNTGTATCTTCATGCACTCACCGAAACGCCTTTTGGCTGTGAAGCCGTAGTTGACTCGACAGTCAATGTCTTCATCAACCACGAACCTCTTCCAAATGTCGGCGACAAAGCGGCCATTGTGATCCATCTCCTGGATCCGGACGTTCGCACGATTCCAAGCCAATTCGGCTGACTTCCTGAACTCTGCTCTGTCTAAGAAGACGCCGCAATCGAGAGTTGATGTTGCCAACTCGCCGAACAAAGCCTTGTCCAAGATGGCTTCCATCCCCGCCCTTGCCTATCTGAAACAGCATCTTGGAAGTGCAAACTCGACGGAATGCCGCGTGCATGAAACACAGTTTGATTTGATACGCAGGCTGGTTGTCATAGTAGACGGACTCAATGAAAAGACGCAAAGCACGCTTCGTCTCGCGAATGTCGAAATTGGGATACTTGTGCATTGCCTTCTCATACAGGAAGTCGTAGTTGAGCTTGAGGTAGCAGTTGCGATGCGGGCCTTTGGGCTGCAACTCCCACTGGTCGGTAACATAAACATCATCGAAACAGACTCCATTCGATTTGGGCATTGGGCTATCCCATTCGACAAGGAATAACTTGGACAAGGCCTTGATGTTGTGCTCGCATTCCCAGGACTTTCGAATCTGGACAAGCATATCAGCGACTCGTCGACTCCATGCAGCATGCCAGGTTTTGTTGCCTGTGGCTTTGCGAAGATGGTCACTGTTCTGCTTCGCGATGGATCTGAGTTCGTTCGAGACATCGGGGACGTTGTTCGTCAGATTCTGTATGATGTCCATGATGTAGACACTCGCGTCCGACCATGACCAAGCTGGAGTCGCGTTTTCTGTCTCCAGGTTCAAGGCCAACTGGATGAATAAGCCTTCGAGGGCGAGGAAGACATCCCATGCCTCGATCACGAGCGATGACGTGCGAACCCAAGCTCCGTCTTCATAATGAAATATCTGTCTATGATGCGCTCGCCAGGCATGCCCATCTGCAAGCATGGACAGAACCAATTTTTGCTTATTGGACATCATGTAGTTGGACGCATTAAGGTCGCAGACGTACTTGCAGAGAGCTAGTAGATGACGGACATCTTCTGGCATCTCGGGGAAGGCATCCTGACTCCAAGTGAGAAATTTCTCGCGTTCGGCAGGCAAGGGGTTCATCTTGACTTTGTCACGAGGTTCAACTTGGTCATCTCGAAGATCTGGCACTGGGAACTGTAGATCCGAGAGGGCACGGAACCTGATCAAACCACACATCTTTTCACGAACTTA